TTTTTACAAAGTGAGATGCAATCACGTTATGTAACAAGTCTTATTAAAGGATTTATCAAACCACTTCCATCTCAAAACGAAATGGAAAAATCTATACGTAAATATTACGAAAAAATTCATAAAAATTATTGTAAATATGCTCGTAGTGCTATTCGGTTATCTTATTTGCCTTATATGGACACCTTGAGTAAAGAAATTGGATGTTATCCTTATCCTTATGAAATATTTAAAAAATTTGGGTTTAATTTTTGGAAATTAATTATGTTTGGTATGGTTACTCCTATTCAAGTATGTAATATTTTTTTCATTACATTAACATTATGAGAGTATTTTATTTTACCAAAGTGCTAATTATATTACATTATAGTATCGGCTACTAGGGAGGAATTCTTGGGAAGGTGCAAAAGAAGCTATTTCGCTTTATAACAAATATAGTTTTAAAGCTACTATTAGAAGATCAATAGGTTATAAATCATGGATATATATCCTTATTATTTTGTTAATATTACTAAATAGAAATGGTGCTTTTAAAAAAATAATAAATTAAAAATTTTAAAATAAATAAATGCTTTTTATACATAATAATGAATATACTATTATATATTCATACGATTCTAAGATAATAAGCACGAAATTTTCATACTGTATTTAATCTGATAAATAAATACATTCTGTTCATTTAATCCAGCATAGCCAACAAAAACTCTGGACACGTAAGCGAAGTGGCTGTGAAACGGGTTTTTTACTCAGTAATATTGTTACTACTCTGACTTCTTCAAATATTAATTACATAAATTTAGCAATAGAGACCATAATAAGTTGAAGAAGGTCGTGATGCTACACTAATATCAAAGACATGGTAAATTAATCAACCTGTTTTCGAGGAAAATTTATCAAATGTACTAGGCAATTGTTCGTCCGTCATCATTTGTCACGTGTACGGACAGAATTAGAAATTGTATCACTCTCTTGTCGGATTTTTTTAAAATGCACTCGAGTAGTATTAAATTTTAAAATTGAAATATTCGAACATGACCCGATACTATAAATAGATAGTTTCGGGCATCTAATGCGATACGTATTTGCCTGAAATTATTATACTGCATTGCATTACACATTTCAGTGTTTGCATTTGGACTATGCCCAATAAAAATTTTATTTGGACTTGGACAAATATGGACATGGACTAATTCCATGTTTTTCGAAATTTTCGGAATATTTCGGAATTTAACTAATTTGACATCAGCCTTTCGATTTGGAACATTTCAGAACAGAAACTTACGTGTTTTATTTGGACTAAGTACCCTATGTCCAATGAAAAATATGGACAATATGGACATAGTCTATTGGTCCATGTTGTCCATGTCCATATTTTGCAAACACTGCACATTTTTACGTTGGGCTATGCCGGCGATTGCTTTAGGCCGGAGGCGAAGTTTTATTGAAGCAATAGAAATGATGTCTAGTACATGAAGACGATTAAGCGAGTAATCGGCCGAGATTGGCCTGAGTAGCAATGACATCCTGAGAAGTTTGCTCTAGGAGTCGCCGCAGGAATGATCATCCGGTTTCCCGCTCGCCGAAGTGAGCCGGCTGTAAGTGGAGGAAATGGTGAAATTAGAGAGCAGAGAAATGGTAGAATCACGTAGTCATCCGCTCTGAGTGGTTTAGGTGGGTTGCGAGAAAATCTTTAGTTCGGGTCTGATATGTGTTCTTCTTTGCTCATAAATAAGCTTCTCTTCGGCATTTCGTTTCGAATCTTGCTTATTCATGTGCCGTTGGCATATGTCGTTACATTCTTTACATATGATTTTTCAACTTTCATTCATTTCCTTATTATGGATTATGATTATGGCTTTATCTGACGAGTACTATGAGCTTGTGGCGCGAATATGCTTTCGATCACGTGATATAACATCATTTCGCAGGCTTAATTTTGGTCAACATGTGTCAACATTTAAGTTCTGAAAATCATACCGAATATGTAATAAATTATAAAATGTATGGACTTTCCTGTAAAAGATTAGTTTATTTGGTAAATAATTCCCCCATACGATTAATATTGCGCCGTATAGATATAAATTTCCGGGATATAAATTAAATGTAAAAAGTACTTGCTGAACATCAATATCAATATGGCTAAACATGTTGCTATTATAGGTGCAGGTAAGATAGTAAGATATTGACAAAATTTTAGAAAGCCCATTTTGAATACTGTATCGAAAAAAAAAATCAAATATTCTCGAAATAAAATGATTTAATAAAATTTTTATTAGGAATCTCTGGTTTGACAGCAATAAAACAATGTCTAGACGATGATTTGATTCCAATTTGTTTTGAACAAAATTCTTTTATCGGTGGAATATGGAGATACGAAGACGTTTGTGAAAAAAATAATGAACCTTATTCTTCAGTTTATAAAGGTGTTTTAACTAATACATCTAAAGAAATGGTCTGTAATAATTTTAATTCTTTTGTTGAATTAAATAAAAAATTGAATTCATATAAGTAATCTATCTATCTGGATCTCTGTAATAGACGGCGTATTCTGATTTTCCAATTCCAGCAGATTGGCCGACTTATATGAATCATTTACTAGTAGAAAAGTAAATCCTTTTTCTGTAAATATTTTTTCTCATTGATAGTTTTTCAAGTTTTTTTTTTTTTTAATTAGGTACATCGATATGTATGCTGAAAATTTCAATCTTTTACCTCACATTAAATTCAATACTACCGTGTTAAAAGTATCAATTCTCCCCGATAAACGTTGGAAAGTTAAATATATAACCCAAAGTGAAAATGAGGAAAAAGAAGAGATTTTTGATTTTGTAATGGTTTGCTCCGGTCATCATCGTAAACCTAAATGGCCAGAATTTAAAGGAATGAACTTATTTAAGGGTGAACAATTGCATTCTTATAAGTATAAACGGTGAGTTTAGTTTACAATATTTATAACTTATCTGTTTATGTATACCGGGTGTTCAAAAGTCATTATATACATCCTTTTTTTAAAAGTGACTTTATGCTGAAATATTTATGCAATACATATATACATATGCTCAATATAAGGTCACTTAAAAAAAAGAAAGGGGCATACAATAGCGACAATTTTTGCGGATTTACGAAATTTGCCCTTTATTCAAATCCCCTAACGCTTAATCTATAAGATCGAAATCTGTTATGTAATACTAAAATATTAATAAGCCAAGAAAAATTTGGTTTACCCATTTTTAAATTTCGATGCCTATAAATCCACAGAATTGACTTCTGAAACACCATTATGTATATTTTATTCATTATTTCTAATGTCGTATGTTTAGAGCTATAGATTTTGAAAATAAACGCGTTTTGGTTGTTGGTAGCGGTAATAGGTATGAATATGACTTAAATTGTATAATTCTAAAATTCATATAAAAACTCTTATTCACTAATTTAATTTAGTGCATTGGACATCGCGGTTGAATTAACACATTCTGC